TTTATAGTTTGGTATTTAGATGACTTCACTGCGCAGGTGCAGCGTTTTGTCAGACCCGCAGTTTTCTTCGTAGTCAGATTGGGACTGGCCTCTCAACGTTTCAGGCTGTTGCTTCGAAGCTTTTGACTTTTGGAGGAAGTCTCGTACGAAGCGCTCGTTTTGGAGACTTTGACGTGTGACTTTGGAGGAAGTCTCGTACGAAGCGCTCGCTTTGGAGACTTGACGCGTGCATTTTGGAGGAAGTCTCGTACGAAGCGTTCGCTTTGCAGACTTGAAGTGTGAGCTTTAGAGGAAGTCTCGTGCGAAGCACTACGGTAGTTTTGGAGATGTGACGGCTCACTTTTGGAGACTTTAGTAGTATTGCCCCGCAAGAGCGTCCCACAAGAGTGTTCCCGCAAGAGTCTTACAAGAGTGCCTTACAAGAGTGTCCCACAAGACTGCAACAAGAGTGTCCCGCAAGAGTGACATGCCAGAGTGTCGCACAAGAGTGTCCCACAAGACTGTTCCACAAGAGTGTCCTACAAGAGTGTCCCACAAGAGTGTCCTGCAAGGGTGTCCCACTTTCAACTTTTCTATGCGCCCGTTTCTTCCCTTGTTTCCCGGCCAGGCCAGGTTTCCTGCTGTGCTCTCCCTGTTTCCTGATTCGGTTGCTGACTCGTACCTGGTCATCCCTTGGGTACCGCTGCTTGCTGCCCGGACAAGTGAGCGAGCGCTCAGAATCGTCATGGACCGTCAGCCAGACGGTCGAGCAGCGCCACAGTGCTTCTATATAGATTCTGGTATGCTGCCCTTGTGAGGGCAAGCGCGCCCACAACAAACTCAAGCGAATTCCTTCTACCATAAACTCTCTGCCAGATTGGGATTGATACATGGGGAATGTGTGGATGGACTGCGTCTAGGATTCTTTCCAATTGGTGCAGTTTCCATGTCGGTGCAGCGTGGTGCTTTCAGAAGCATAAGCGCTCCCGTTTGAAAGTTGATGGCTTTTCAAAACATAGCGCCATCTGTAGGGTTCCAATAGCGACAGTCACCTGCGCCATCAATGAACATGAAATACCCTGAAAATTGCCAAGCTCGACCGCGAGAACCTCGCCATTTTTTCGGCTATGTTTTGGCAGTGGATGTGAGCCATAGATGGCGCAACGCATTCTTGCAGGAGCCTCTTTCAGACGCATTGTTAGTTTGCTCCTTGACTGTTTCCTAGTTTGCAGAGGTGGTTGCAAAAAGCTTGCAATGGTGATTCGAGGGGTTCAAAAACAATGTGCAGGATCAACTCTAGCTTTCACATTTTCCAGCGCTTATCCACATGTTGCTCTCGCAAGTTAAGTATAAGTATAAGGTACTGCAAAACTCTTTAATTGACTTCTTGTTGAAGCAAGCTGTCCTGTGCTGTTCACCTTTTTTGGGGACATGTTGGACTTGCTTGGGAAAAAGGTCGTGCTTGCGAGTTGCGCCGTGAGTGTATCCGCCGTCTCCTTTGAGTTGCGCCGTCTATTTTCCGCCCGGTTCAACCTTTGTCCTAACGCGTGGCAGTGAATGGGCCTTGGTCAAGGCCTTGCAAATAAAGAGCTTACCATTATCATATCGACCCTCACTCAACGCGAGACTTTTCTCCTCTCTGCCTTCAATTTCCCGGCGCCTAACAGCAGTAGAGGTCAGTCCAATGTCGACCTCACCCCACAACAACAGTAATCCTTGCTCGATGTTATACAATCACGTGATCTTGGCAGTCTCAGTAAACTTTCATCGGTCCACTTTTAGGAGCGCGCCGCGTGTCTCAGTCCAGGTACAAGACAGGAGAAACAAACCGCAGGCAAGCGCCCTTCAGTTACCTCGACCTGTGAATGTCCCGCTCAATTCAACTTTTGTCCACCCGAACTGTAAACGTCCTGCTCAATTCAACCTTTCTCCTAACGCATGGGCTCCACTTCTATCCTATAACCGCTAACAGTGAATGGGCCTTGATCAAGACCTTTTGTACAAATCCTATCATATTGACCCTCAATGCGAGACTTTGCGCCTCTCTGCCTTCTATTTCCCCGACAGCAGTTGAAGTGCGCTGTCAACATCACCCCGTAACCACATTGATGTCTTGGAGGCTGGCTTTCGTCCCCTCCCTTCTCAGGTGTATATATAAATATTTAAAGATTTTTTCAAGCACCGCGCTGCTATGTTAAGCTGGCTTGCCTGCGCGACAAATTATGCGTCGCAAATAGCATGATGCTGGTACTTTATAGCTTGTAGGAGAGTATCTCCCCTCAAAAGTCTGATTTGCTCTGCTGCCAGAACTGGAAGGCTGTGTTGCGTCCATGGCCTCGATGTTGTTTATGGCTACGCCGCCGTTAGCGGCGCTGAGTAATTTGTGTTTTTCGGGCTCAGAAGGGGGGCCTTTGGGTGGTTTTGGTGTTTTTTCTCCGGGCACAGGGTCCAGCAGTCTCTGTCGGGTTCACCGTTGTTTTCGTGTTTCATTCGTTCGAACGTTTTGATTCGCTGGATTTATATAGAGCGTCAAGATGCTCACCGAACTTTTTTCACTCCGCCATGCTGATGGCTCTTGAGTTCTTCGGGTTCTTCGTGTTGCTGCTGGCGGTGCGTCAACTGAGTGGAGTGCGGTGGGATTACCTGCTGGTCTTGTTGCGGCAGCTGGCTCCACTGCTGGTGATGAGTCGGTTTGAGTTGCGCGCGACGTGCGTGGTGTTTTCACCTCGACTAAACGATCCCGATGTGGCTTCGACTCCGCTTCTCACAGAGGGCTTCAGGGAAGTGCCCTTCTCCTGCTTGTTTGTGCAGACCGCAATCATGCTCATGACCACGCTACCACCAGTGTCACAATGATTCACAATGTGCAAATTCCCCGAAGACGCTGACGGCGGAGTAGCTTTGTTGTTTTAGCATCGCAGCAGTTCACCAGTTCAACAAATGTAAACTTGTTCTTCGTCCCACATTCATCGCAGACTCTGTCTTCTCAAAATTATCAGGCGGTGCAACGGATTGCTGATGAGACTCGCAAGCAGAAGGGACTGAGAATTGAACATTTTGAAAAACGTATGCATCCCTTACTATATTGTAATTTCGAAACACATTTGTGGCCGGACATCGGAAAGAACGTTGATTTGTAACCGCCTATAGGTTTTCAAAAATGGCCAGACACTATGAAACAGCAACAACTTTAATCAACAGTTCATTGTCACACTAATGAAAACACATCCTTGCCCATCCTTTCCCTACCATTACCATTACACTGAAGCACCTAAGACCCATGTCACAAAAACTGAACCAAGTAGGATGACGTGCTTCAATGACACAGTTCACCAATGTGGCTGCAGCTGCTGCCTTGGCGCAAAGTTGACACGCCAGACATTTAGAGACTGTCTAGAAATCTCTACCTTGGAGCAAACCTGTAATTGCCTCTAGAATCTCTTCTTTGAGATACTGATGCATTCTGAATAGTCAAAATTATCTTCCTGATGTCACGACAGACTTGTCCACAACTTCGTAGTTCGGAACTTTCTCTTTCAATCTGCCCGTGAGACAAGACTCCCAGAAAATGGCCACCCTGGACCCAGACATGTGCTGCACCATTGACTCATTTGGCACAAAACCATTTGGCCTTCGCACATCATTTTCGCACCCTTGTGTTTTGTGAATCGATAATCCTTGTCCTCCCAGACTGTCGCACTATGCTGCACTTGTCAAAAGCAGCGAACCTCTCATGTCTCATGCCTCAAACAGCACCGAGTTTGATTTTGGTAATGAGAGGCTCTCTGCAAGACAAGTTTACTGTGTATGTATATATATATACAATATAAAAGTATATTATATATTAATATTCCTTTTCGTTTCTCTCCCTCCTGATACTTACATAGTTCATGATCGCATCAATCACTCTTCTCATCCTTTTTGGTTGTGCAGGTGACCTTCCATTTAGATTTCTTGGCGCTTCTTGTGAGGTCTTGTGATTAGACTTGTTGCTTTAGTTCGTCGCGAGTAGTCTAGTCTATGATATGTAGAAAGCAGAGTCATGGTGTGCATTTTCTGATTGTGAATTCAGGTTATGATGGCTTGATGGGCTCATCGAGTGACAGGGAGAGACAACCGCTGGTTGACAAGAGTGGCAGCTTGGCTGAAGGTTCCAGCAACAAGAGCGCCCACGCAAGGCCGTGGAAGAAGTGTGGCTTCAACGCGTTTTCTCTTTGACTGTGATCGACCATGTTCCACTGTGAGGCGAGACTCGTTTTGTTCTTCCAAGGCCCTACCACCCCGCCGGAAGTGAAGGAGGTTCGCTGGGGAGACACGACAGACAGCTGTGTATTGAGGTGTAGAAAGATGTAGGAAGAAATCTCCAGCGCAAGAGTTCGGCTGAAAATATACAAACAGAAGACAAGTCAAGACTAATCCTCATAATTACCCTCACATGTCTGAACAAGCTCTAGACTCCACAACCCAATTTGATCCAATTTGATTGACTGTTGCCGGGTCTGCCCAACATTGTCGACCGCTCTCAAACAAGCTGGAATTATGGACCAACATCTCACGTGCACTGTGCTATTGAAGTTGATCAGTGATGACGGTCACTGGTTGCAGGTGGCTGATGCCTTGCCAAAGGACTGGTGACTGGTGCCAGTGACACCATGAATCCTGTCTCCGAACATGTCTGCCTTCATGTCATGTCACACATCAATGAACACTTGCGTCAGTGAGTCAGGAACACAGGCTTTAGGTAGCTTGATGGAGACGAGGCATTAGCTTTGATTTGTGTAGCTTGTGCCTGTCGAGCAGCTAAAGTCAGTTTTGCAAGGCAAACTTGCCACCTGAGCGAAGAGCGAGAGCTGTACATAGTGACCACTGTAGTGCAAGTGGTACTTGACTGCACTCGACAGCACTTGACATCACTCCAGAAACCGGAGCGCAGCTTACTGGCCTTTGTGATGCAAACATGATCATACGACAGGCTGATACTGAACAGATCATCCAAACTCGTGCATATCTTAAGTTGGCAGGAGGTCAAGAGTGAATTCCTGCAAGAAAAGACTGAGGACTTAGCACCTGCCACTATCAGATAGTTGATGCAGGGACAAATCGGACACCCAATTGCAATCTGTAGTGCAGGAGGCAAAGTTTTCGGCATCAGCATGGCGCGAAAGCAGAGGAATCCAGCGCACAGAAGTACAAAGCCTGGAACCTGGAAGATGGAAGTGGTACCAAGGGCATCGCTACTAGTAATCATGGTCGAGTCCAGTAGGGTGATGCCTAAGGATTGCCCAAGAGGCCAGAGAAGCTCCTGTCACCAGAGGTGTCACCAGAGGTACCAGACGTGCCACAATATCGTCCAAAAGTGCGAAGTTCACTGGCCAAAGAGGTTGCCGCTCGCACACCACCACCTGGCAACATGTGGTTCATTCCGGGCAAGACCGAGACTGCGCAGTCCAAGAACAAACGGCAAGAAGATGTAACACAGGCAGCTGAAAAGGAAGAAGAAGAAGAAGCAGAAGAAGAAGAAGAAGAAGAAGAAGAAAAAGAAAAAGAAGAAGAAGAAAAAAAAGAGGCAGACTCAGAGGCCAAAGTGCAGCAGAAGCGATTACAACAAAATCAAGCAGAAGCCGAACTTCTTCAAGAGGCATGGAAGAATTTGGAAGACGATCGGCAGTTGGCAAGGGCAATGGCCCATGACACTTTACCCAAGTTTTGGGAGAATCTTTGGGATGAGGCGCCAGATTCTATTTTCAAGGAGAATGCTTGGGAGCAGCTTGAGAGCCGCAAAGCAGGTCACCCTGAAGAGGAGTTGCCTATTGAAGGAATGCGTAGCAAGATAGTGGAGCATGTTCGCGACCATCGAGCGACTATTTTGGTGGGAGCAACAGGATGTGGAAAGTCCACACGATTGCCACAGTACATCATGGACGAGCCAAGAGCATCGGTTCTTGTAACTCAGCCTCGCCGTGTTGCTGCAGTTGAGATTGCCAAGCGAGTGGCCTCAGAACGGGGAGAACCCGTAGGCCAAAATGTTGGCTATCGCATATCTGGTGAGACGTTGGTAGGAAGTGGCAAGCTGCAGTTCGCCACTATAGGTGTGGGTCTGAAAAGGTTGTCAGTTTCTACAATTTCCTTGATTTTGCTCTTTGTGTCAACCAGCATAAGATTTCTGTATTTGTAGCTTTTCATTGTTCTGCTTTCTAGGCTATGTGCTGACCTGGTTTCTTGCGAACCCTGAGCAGTTTGGAAAGTTCAGTCACATCGTAATCGACGAGGCACCATGTCTTGAGGGAATGCAAGTAGCTGTCTGACTGTTTTTCAACCGCAGGTTCACGAGCGAGGAGCAGACATGGAGCTGTTCTTGCTGTTGACGAAGCTCCTGATGTACCTCTTCCCACGCCCCAAGGCTACAGCACCACACCTGCTGTACATCGTTTGTTGTGCTTCATTTTGTTCTTACGTGATTGATGGTTTTGAGATTGCCATATACTGTACATTTCTTTATATATATAAAATTAGAATACTTAAAATACATTCGCCTGTTTTGTTTAGTTTGCATTTTGCATCCTGGTCTAATCTGATCTACAGGTCATTTTGATGTCAGCTACGATGCAGCCTGACGAATTCCGTGCCTTTGCTTTCCTGCGGAAAGTACATAAGGCGTTATTGGATATGAATATGCTGTAACTGTAACTGTAAGAGCAACAGAAGTTACTGCCAACATGAAGGAAACAAGGTTGGCAAAACGGCAATAGCCAATAGGGGGAGCTATCGGAAGTAGCCCATTTGCAAGCACCGGTACTTTATCGGTTGAAGCCAGCTTGCATCATTCATAGCCGAGTGTCATAGCCCCTTCACATTCATAATGTTCCCATTATACATGTCAGCACCACAGACTGGCCACGCATCCTGCTTGCGAACTTCAGACTCTAGCTAACCGGTGCTCTCTGTTAAGAACTGCCTTCCGGGTCCTTTCTAGACATCATCAATATCACGTCATGAAGTGGACCCCGCCCTCTTACCCAAAGCTGTGTCAGCAAAAGGTTGCGACCATTCTGTTTGGGGGTGACTCTTTTTGCAGCAAGGACACTTGTGAGCACAAGGTAGCGCTGACAAATTGCCTCTGCCAAAAAAATGGCCTGCTGCCTGCTGCTACCTATTTACATGATACTCTCTAGGTGCAAAGAATTGTGTGATCTCTTTTGTTGAAGCACGCACAGGAAAAATACAAAACATAACAAAACTGAATTGCAGCAGGTACTTAGAACTGCACACTTAAATGGATGCAAGAGGACCTTTGAAAGGGTTCTTGTAGACCATTGTGCCATTCAAGATATTGAAGCATGTATATATAATATATATATATTATTGCAAAACTCCTTACACATTGACCAAAGAAACCAGCTGCAGTGAACAATATCTAAATGCCAAGGCGTTGGTTGGCCCTTACGCAAGTAAGAGTCAAGCTTGCCAGAATTGTTTGCACGGACCAAAAAGGGTCAAGATTGCAATTTGAAGTAGAGAACATGTTCAGCGACAACATCTCTGTGCTGGACCAAGGGCCAGCAAAGGCCTGAAGGTTGCCACTGCGAGGACAAGGCTATATCACTCGACATAGTTGGAATGAAAGCTATTCTTTTATACAAATTATCTTAACTTTGACATTTCTTTGGACACCAGCTGGTGACGCCTTAGCAGATGAATGTCGCTGAGGCAGCTACTACTCCGATTTTGCGATAGGCGAGCCTTTAAGCGTGCCGGGCATCTAAGAAAGAAGGGAAACATTTTGGGAGAATCTCTATTAGGTTGGAGGCCATCGCCAGTAGGTTGCAGGCCTTATTAGGTTGGAGGCCATTGCTAGTAGGTTGGAGCCATCCATCGGTATTAGGTTGGAGGCCATCGCTTCGAGGTTGGAGTACTTGCAGAGACTAAAGAATCGGCAGATATTCTTCAGGCCTGGGCGAACCTTCCCTGTCGAAGAGCTCTTCCTGGACAGGGTGCACGATCAACCCGCTGTCTTGGTACCTATTGCCGTTTGTGTGATGACAGGCAGCCAGGACTCAGGACAGGTCAACCGCAGTACCTCTATTCCTTTGTTTAGATTGGTGGGTTTAGGGCGCCCATCATACTCCTGCCCACGCGGAGCCTTGAAGGACGATTTGCTGTCGGAGTACAGTGACAGCTTGCCGCCCTCTGTTCTCACTCTCCTGGAGGTATCCTGCGGCTCGAAAGAGTAGCCCTTTTTGACACTCATGGTACTTTTCAACAAGAAGATAATTCTCCAATTGCTGCAGGCAGTGCAACAAGAAGCCAAAGAAGCACACAGTTTTGGTTCGGAGAACGATAAGCAATCTTCTCAGGTGAACATGCTGTCGGTGGTTACCTGGCCTTGGTACCTTCCACAGCTTTGGTGGAAACTAGCGAACCACACAAGCTAACAGAATCAAAGGTCTCTAGCTACTAGTCAAATCAGCCAAAAAGCAAAAGTGGTTGGTATTCTGATATGTAATATGTAGTCTTGCGGTTCTAAGGGGTGGCCTGCCAATCAAGACAGGAGTCGTTTATTTTGATGGGAACAGTGCACCAACAGTGGGACCAGGTCACTAGGTTACTACCAGTGGGTGCACTTCGTTTTCCTAATTGAGCAACGTTTTTATTGGCATGTAAAGGTTTACAATGGTTTATATAAAAGTGGAACTGCATTATAGCCCGCGAATTCAATTCTCATAGTTTTGTGCACGTGCTAAGACACGCGAAGCCAAATCGCGTATGCTCCACTTTTTTTTGCGCGAAGGCAACTTGCGTAGGCAAGTTTTGTACTGTTTAAACTTTGAAGGCAGCATATAACACAGTTTCAGTTTAACCGCGAAGGCACGCCCTTTGCACAAAAAACATGTTTCGTGAAGGCTTGCGAAGGCAGATGCGTAGGTATGCTTCCAGTGTATAGGCCCCGTACTCACCCCAAAAAAAAGCTCAATTGACCAAACACTTTTATTTGATCTCTACTGTAACTAGAGCTGTCTGCGACATGCACTATTTGTTTGTCCAACGTCCGTATTCGAACAGTATTTTTGTGAACGAGATAGGAGCCCTCAAGAACGTGATTTGCTGTTACAGATCTACAATCATATACAATCATTGATTAGGCTGAACATAATATCCCGGTCTTCTGTATTAAGTAAGGAACGTTCCCAGGTTCCCACAAATTCAGAAATCGCGCTTGGCCCACCACTTGGTAGTCTGGTGTTTTAATTGGGATAGGCTTACCTTGTCGCGCTACCAAAACGAAGCGTTGCGCTAGGGCTGGCGTTTAGTCACCGCTAAATCGCTGCTGCAGATCGCGTGACTACGGACTACGTGGGGAGCATGAGTACAGGGTACTGTAGTTCACGGCTTGACTGAATTGCGCAGATAAGACCCCTAGAGACACCCACCCAGTGCAACAAGTGAATGCTAAGTCGCTGCTGCAGACACCGCTCACATTCGCTTTCATAGACACACACGCGCACACAGGCCCAAGAAAAAAGGACATGCACAGCGTACAACCATACAATGCTGTACATGAGCACCTGCTGTCTGCACGAAAGCCACTGCTTCGAATTGCTATGACTTGCAGCCGGGATAATAATTTCGAGATGTTTATTTTTTTCAGCTCAATTGAACGATATAGTGTAGACTTGACAGTATGTGGTCTCGTACTAAAGTAGTGAAAGCGAGATAGAGGCACCTCAAAATAGATCGCATGTCTTGAGTTTAGTGACCAATGCCCCCGCTCGTCTTAGTAAAGGTACAGCGAGATAATTGACGGCAAGTGGTGTACATATCAAGCATGTCACACTGCAACGACCGGATGTGGCATCATACATGAAAGTCACCTCATTTTCTGGAGCACATGTGCCGTTTGATGGGGTTCTTACATGTACGTGGGTTCTTTGCTCTAAAATCACAACTGTCGAGTGTCCTCCTTCAAAGGGGCCCCACGAACGCAAGAGAGTTACGTGCGGCATCAGTTCAGCATTATTTTTTGTTCAAACAATGGGCTATACTGTACATCATATATATAATCATCCTGGAGTAGATAGAATCCGGAATTCTTCCATGTTCTTTTCCACCCACCTGTTCCTGTTTCTTATCCCTTTTCCATCTCCAATTCCTTTTCTTCCTCTTCCTGCTCCTTTTCCTCTTTCCATCCTCACCCTTTTCATACTCGTCTTCTGGTCTTTCTCTTCCTTATCTTCTCTCTTTTCATGTTTTTGTTTTTCTCTCTCTCTCTCTCTCTCTGTTATCAGGTCAATTGTTGTCTATCCCTGGGTCCTTTTTTTGGTGGCGTCAGTTTCCTGCTTTTGCATGGCACTAGCTGCATCTCTATTGTATGTTTGTTCCCCTTTCTTGCTTTATTTAGTTGTTTTCCTGTGTTATTAAATATTCTATCTATGTGTTTGTTCTTTGCATTTGTCGCCAACAATGACTTGCCTCATCTCCCTGTACTTGATAAATTGAGGCCATCTTTTAGATCAAAAAACAGCCGGCCACTTCCTCGTACAGTGAACAGGGAAAGGGAAACACGAGTGGAAAAGGGGGGTTGATTGAGGTCACATTTTTTGAACACATTTTTTGGGGTCAGATCCATATTCTATCTATGTTTCGGCCTTGACCTATTTTTTTTTTAAATTACATATTCTATCTACTCCAGGATGATTATATATATATATCTGTTTTCCTTACCATGAAACTATTAACGGACTTAACAGCCCCTTCCTACGCGCATGGGAAGGGAACACTCACAGTCACAGCATAAATTATGTTTTTAAAAAGCAGGCTTAAAGAGTTGTCACGCTTAGATCCTTATTTGTCATTTTGTGCAGTTTTTGACACATGGAATGATTGTAGCCGCTTGACTTGCTGACCTGGTAGGCAGCGGCAGAGCAATTCGAACAGCTGTCTGAGGCAAAGTACAAAGTGCTGTGAAGAGCCTTGATTATATATATATAAACACAACTAGCTGCAGCTTGAGGATGACCTCAAGTCCCCAAGCATTCTTCCGGGGCTGCTTGAACTGGCGCCTGCCTCAATTATCCCACAAGCGACTTTAGCAACAATGCAAGCTGCATGGCAAGCTGCCAAGGCGGTGCAGCTGTGTCCGCATTTTGCGCAGCCGGACTCGACAATGCTGATTTTCCTACCCGGGTGCGCTCACTTTGAAACTATCTGGACTTTTGTGCTTCCACTTCATGAGATATCATGAGGCTCCTGGAGCTCAACAAACTCTCAGATTTGTTTTCAGAGGTGCCGCACAAAACACATTGACATAATTTGACACATTCAAACATAAACAAAAGCGTTTTGGGAACCCTTTGATTGAAACAACCGCTTCAAGAACCATTTGAACCGTTTGCAGAGTTTGCTGATTGCCATCGCCAGGTCTTGAATGCAATGCCAAGGAGAGCAAATAGTCTGGACGGATCATGAAAAACTTGCTCATGCAATTGTATGTGTGACACTTTTCGACCTCAAATGGTTGCGACTTGCACAGCTGTGCCATGCAACAGGTCGTTCTTAAAACCAAATCAACATTCATCCAGTTTATACACCAATACGGACAGCTTTGGCCAGTAAAGACATTGGACAGGCAAACTTTGCAAGGGCTGTCCAGCTTCAAGACTTTTGTGCTGCATTCAATGGTGGCCACCACAGAAGCCTTCTCGCTTTGCAATGTGCGTCAAGTTGATTGCTGGCAGATCGTTTCAGAGGTGTTCAAGCATTTTGTAGCAGGGTAGTGTTGGCTGTTTCCCTTCTCAGTTCCATTGAGGTCCCCAGAACCGAGCAGGAAGAGGTCTTCAAGCCGCCTACAGGTCAGAGGGCTACTTCCTTCTAGATAGATGCTCTTTGCAGTCCTACACTATCATCCTGATGATGATATATAATTTGTAAATACCATTATAACTTGATGATTCTGATCAAATCATCATGATATATCATGATGTTTATTCACAAATCGTGCAAAACTGTTGAGAGTCCGTGTGACGTGAGACAATTCTTGTTTCTCATAATATGCAGGTGCAATTAATAATGGTAAGGCTGTCAGTCATTGCTCTCCCGGGTAGTTGGTAACGGCTCATTTGTGCTGCATGATTTTTGCGAGCTATTCCCGCCATACCCCAGGTCAGAGTCAAAACAGCTTTTGCACTGTAGCAAGAAAAGCCCTGCTTTTCATGACACTTTTTGCGTTTGCAATGCTTGTGACACAGTGGATGGTCGAAGAGAGGGCAGGCGAAAGAGTGATACAGTCGGATTGAGTGTTGAACATTTACTAAGAAGCTACTCGCGGTTGAGCCAGTGATACGGATGTTTCATAACTCTTTTGTATGTCCATGTGTTTGCAAGGGTTGGTGTGTTTGCAGACCTGCTAGTTAGCTAGTTGGTTGTCTACTAACGATGATTTCCTTCCAAGCCAGTTTGACCATTCAACTTAGATGATTCTTTCACTTCATTCTAAAAGCCCTTTCCTTCCTTTTTGACTCCTTCCCAGACACTGTGATGCTGGACAGGGACCACGGTTTCAAAACCTCGGTCGCTTCCTGCTCACTCCTCGAGACTCCTCGCGACCCCAATGGAGACTTGCATATACTCCGCATGCTCCTCATTTGAAGCGAACTCACCCTAGTAGCGTCCTTGCTCCTAGTAGTGATGCCCTTTGCTCCTAGTAGCTTCTTGTTCCTAGTAGTAAGGCCAGGAGCCCCTAGTAGCGTCCTTGCTCCTAGTTTTGGTTTGGTCTATTTTCATTTCATCAAATGATAGCTTGTTCATTGAGTTGAACTTATTCACCGCTCGATGGACAGAGTGCCCTTGTTTGCTTGCATGGAGGCCCAGTGGATCTCCCAATGAAGATGTTACCCCTCCCTCACCGCCCGCCCTCGTTGTACCACCGCTACACCACACCTTCTACATCCTAGGAACCTTAAGTTTCCCTAAAAATCTAGGAACCAAATCCTGCGTCCTGTCGGTAGTAGCGTCCAGTAAGCTACTAGCGACTCCCTAGCGACCACTACCTCCTCGCGGCCTACCCCCGCCAACAAATGGACAGACTTTTCAGGTGGCCGCTGTCACGTTGTGCTTGCCTCCAACATAGCCGAGTCCTCGCTCACCTTGCCGGAGGCTAAATTCTGTTTGTTCTGTGATCTGCAGCACTTGACACTTGCAATCAAGTGTCACACAGCCTTTTGCATCAAAAAGTCAGACAAAAAGCATTCCGTTGCACACGTGCTGCACTTCTCACTCACGAGCTTCTCCTGGAGCCGTTGGCCCAAATTGAACCCAACTAGCACATGATGAGAACGACATCCCTTCTCAAACGCATGCTATTTCAGCACCACTACATCAGCTTGAAGTTCCATGAAAATTCAGGACATTCCAGCAGAGTTGCTCACATTATGTGAGACTGTATTTGGAACCAACTTGCAATGGAGCTCCGAAGGGTTCCGCGGTGTTGGAATTATACGTGAAAAAGTCTCGTGCTGCGGTGCAGCATGTGAGAAAAGTCTTATGCAATGCAGACTTTGGTGCCAGGGGCCTACAAAGATTGTACAAAAATCACAGATCAGAGAGAAAGTCCAGCAAGCGGGAGGATTGACACGGATGATGCCTCTGTGCTTGTTTGCGCCTCGTCACGTCTCAGATCTGTTCCACTTCTCAAATTTCATGGGGAGCAGCCGGTCCTTTGTGAAGAAGGTCTTGAAGTAGGAGGCTCAGAGCCCCTGCAGAGTGCTTCCGTAGAAAATACCTTAGACATTGCCATTTATTTGGTTTTGGTTGAGGCCATCAACGCGCTTCCTGGACCGTTATGCCCGATTGCCTTTGTGGGTGATGGGCGTAGCGGAAAGTCGTACCTTGCCTCCAAAGTCGTCGCCTGGCAAGAACCCTTTTTGACTAAGCCAAGTGGCTTGTCATGGCTAGTACTGAAAAGTTTCAGGCCGATCATGGCTGATCCCTAAGGTTGGCACGGGTGCATTTAAGGATGATGACTCTGATGAAGCGGTGACAGAGGGACACTTGACTTTATAGTGATTCCACAATGACATGCAATGATACTTGTGGAGCTGGCAAAACAGTGAATTTGTTCCTTCGTATACAGTTTGTGCTAGGCATCGACGTGGTTGCCATTTCAAGTCATCCGGGACACTTGCTGGTTCTGGACTGCGAAGGCGGCAACAACGCCATGTCTAAGAGCCATTCCATCGTCACCGTGGTGGGAGACTCAAACTTGAAGCACCAAATATGTACATGTATGCTGTATACGCAGTATGAAGACACAGCAATAATACACGGTGTAGGTTGTCCCCTGTCTGATTGTCCGTGCTCGTTGTGCACGTCACAGATCACATTTCCTAATCACCCTTTTAACATGTGACTTTAGCTCAAAAACTTACTGCGGGCTGCAGATGTAAAGGCGCAATAGTGAACAGCAGTGCATCAGATGCCACAGCTCTTTTACTCAAGCTCTCTGGCCCTGGGGCTAAGCAACAAGGTGCAGATGCATCAGCGTAAGAATGACAATGTCGGTCACCTCACTGCAAGCTCTACTTCCAAAAATCCTCCTGAAGCTGATTGGAGGACCAAAGGTGAGGTGAGGTGAAGCCAACAACAGCGAAAAAAAAGAAAACCACATTATATATACGTATATATTATATATATTTATATTATATATATATTATGTATCACGAAAGCCAGCCGATAGGCAAGGCTTGAGGTTCTTGCGCGAAGCCGAGTACAGTACTTAGATTTTAGAGGACAAGAGACTCCAATTAAGCAGTTGGGGGGAGGTGTTGAGAAGGAAGCGGTAAAGCCAACTTCATCAATCTGCCTTTGCAACTGCATCTACCCTTCCGAGAGAAATTGAACATATGCAACACAAAAGAGTGGGGCACTAAAGCATGGGAAGTAACCAAGCAAGATGTTGCTTCTCAGCCACCACTTCCTTTTTTGAACCGTGCCATGCTTGAACGTATCATGTGACAAACTCATTGGTACCACCCACCTTTTCACAGAGGTCACTGATCACAACCTTGCCATAAACTCAGCGTGAAGCAGAGGAATCTCAGTGTGAAGCCCTCGCGGATCTTCATCACATATACATACAAATTTAATGAGCTCACTCAGTTTATACTATTACTATCCGCGTGATTCCCTGAGGCCTTACTTAGTTAGGAAGCAGGTTAGCGCCGACGACCAGGTGCATTGACAGCTGCCAATCCACCCAACATCACCTCTGCCACCAACAAGCAACCCAACGCAGATCACTTCCAGTATGCCGAGCTGATCCCCGGCCCCACTCTTCCAAAACTCCCACCACCAGCACTTCCATCCGACTACAACTCACCCATTGGCGGCACACCCACTCGGGCCAGATCCAAAACTCCACCCAGATCGCAAACACCACCACGCACTCACACCACAACCCTCGGTGGCTGCTTTTGTCCAACCGAAACATCCTCCACCAACCCTCCAATACAATCAGCCTTCGCCAGCTTTCGGCCAGCGCGCAGCACCACCACCGGGCTGGTGGCCCACAGCACCTTCTGCATCACCAGCGCCACAACCGTCACCTTTGCCACAAGCCTTTCATGCACCAGCACCTCACCCATGGCCAGCATACTACCAATGCCAGCAAGCAACACCCACCCACAGCCAACCTTTCCACAATCCAACCCAACAGTCCGCCTGGGACCCATGGCACGCGGACAACCAATGAGGCGGTACACCGCACGGCTAAAAGGCCGTACAACAACAGTGGTTTTCATCGGCCATTGTTAATATACCCGTTCATTTTTCCAACTCTTTTCTCGGATTCAGGTCTTATTTGCACCCTCCCCTCTACTTTATCTTTTCATCTAGCAGCTTCATCGGCCATTTTGTTGGACACATACCACTGCCCGCGACCAGCGATAGTCTCACCTCGCACCACGAAAAATGAGCAGATGTCCGCTTTGCCGCTTGTATCTTCCGAAGCGCATTCATACCCAGTTTCAACTCCCACCACACCAGATTACCTTTTCTCTTTTCTCTTTCTACTCGGGTCCCTCTCTTTCGGTGATTTTCCGTCTCACTAACATCATTGCTCTACCTGTATGATCTTGAATTTTTGACCTTTTTGATGTTCCCTGCAGCTGTTTTGCTCAAACACCAAGCTTACCGTGAACTACTCGCTGCCTCATCGCCCTCCCACCATGGACGCACAATGGCAGCAGTACTATTGGCAGCACTACCTTCAGCAGCAACAGAACCAAGCTGCCCATCAAGGTCTCTCGAACCTTCAGTATACTCCTACCGGCACCTACGGCCCCATGACACACGCTATCCGTACTCAACAGGCTCATCAACACCACCCTTACACTCCCTCGCCCTCACAGCCTCCGACCACCAACTCTCCACCAACACACCGTGAATTCCCACCGCCACCTCCACCGCCTCCAACAACAGCGGCCCCTGTCACCCCTACAGGAACGTCTTTCAAGCACAGCCCCACTCACTCCGCTCCATCGGCGCCACCACCTACCATTCCTTTTCCCAAGCCACCAATCCAAGACTCATGGCGCACCACAGACACACACCTCCCTCCACGGCCACCAGCTTTACCGCACCATCCAACCCACCCAATGGTCCCGCCGTGTTGGCATCGCGGGACTGCCCACATTTGACGTATACCCATGGCTTTTAGCCTACCATGGCACCGCCGACTACACAGCAAGAACACTCAGCCATGGAAAATACTGCGGGTTGATCCCAACCCGCAGTATCGCAGAATCAGTCTTTACAACACACCTACTTCAAGAAATCCGCGACAAACGGCTCGATCTTGATGCCATCGCCGAAGCCCTCCATACATCCCAAGGCACTGAGATCCCGAATAAAACCACTCAGGCCAGAGCCAGCCATTCAATCCTGGGTGTCCAGATTCGACCCGGCCATTCAAGAGTCGGCAAAAGAGGTAATCCGCCTCTTGCAGACTAGCAAAGTCACCACCGAACAACTGAAGGAAGCGGCCACGCGATATGGATTACCCCTTGCGAAGTTGAACCGCATGACCATCAAGTCCCTTCAGCGCCTGGTCAGCATCGGCGCGGCGCTCGCCTGTTGACTTTGCCTCGTCGGCCAGCAGCTGCCAAAAAACACCAACATGCAACAGCTTTTCTACCTCCACCGTGCCCTTTCCACCCTGATTCACCAGACACAATACATTGAACGAGCCGAAGCCATCTTTTCCACCGGTCTAATCCACATCACACTTCTTTTCACCTACCCCTCCTCGACCCAGCGTTCCCAACAATGGCGCAAGCGATTTCGCCAGCTCCACATCCTACCTCACACTTACCACTACCACAACTTTATCTCTTCCAACTCTGTCTACATCAAGCTCCAATTCAACATCCTCGAACCTCATCGTTGCTACCACCAACATGGCCACTTCTACGTTGGATCCACAGCCATTGGCATCCCCCCACAGAGAATACAATCGCCGTGTCAAACTCAAACAACTCCAAAACAACGTCCCAGTTTCAGCCGAACTTTCCCTACGTTATTGGCACTCCCACAACAACATTCACCACTTCACAACTATCCAACTCTCCTCTCACGACACCTACGATCAAGCCTGGATCCATGAGCGCAACCACATTTCTAACTGGATGGCACCCCTCAACTGGCCCTTCATCTCGCAGCACCTCAAACGAAAAGCCCAAGGATGGCAATTCACCAAACATGGAGCTCACTTATTCCCGCCTGGCCACCCACAAGCGGCTCTTCCGCCGCCTCCGCAGACGACAACAAACACTCAGTGAACCACACCTGTTCACGTCCAGCAAACATCACGCTCTTACCCTTCTACGCGATCTCACAAAGCACACCTCCGCCTCCTTCGAAGCTGCCAAACAACTCCGCAGCGGCCGCCACACAGACCTGGAGAATGGCTTCAAACCTGGAAGAACCAGGCCGCAGCCGAGCACTACACATGATCTCCAGTACCGCAACCTTACCCCACCCAAGCCTAACATTCCACTCACTGTGCCTTTTCTGGCACATGACGACTTCACAAAACATTGCCAGCAGTGGCTGCGAACCACCATCCAGCAAAACAAGCACCTCGCCATCCCACTGCACCTTCCCACCCACCGCCTCCGTGAAGCCGCCCGCAAGACACTCCGGGCACAACTCCACAACCGCCGAACCTGGGAAGACACTCTGCACACGCCTCCAGACTCCTCAGATCTTCCGTGTGCCTGCTATCTTCGCACACTTCTTCTTCAACCAGACATCCCCATCACCAACGAGCACTACACCCTCACTCTTGACCAACTCACACTGCCACCACATCTTCGCCTCTTCATTGATGCCACTATGAACAGTACCTTTTACCCAACCAAAGCCCGCTACTTCCTCACTTTTCAGACGGCCTTCGCCAAATGGCTTCGACTCCAAGGACTGCCGACGTCACTCACCCAACACCTGGAACCTTTCCTACAACACCAATGGCGACTTCACACCACCCATCTCAAGCAGCGCCCACGCTTTACCGCCCGCCTCCTCCGACAACTTCAGGCTTACTTGGGAGACAAAGTCGTGCTACACCACGCTGACCATGAACTCCAGCAGCTCCGGGTGTTCTGCCCACGCCAATACTTTGCAGGAGCACTCAACACATGGCAACCTCCAGAACTTTCGAACTACTACCCCACCTCACTTCAGCAAACATCCACGAACACCTCTCAGCCACCATTCCAGCAAGCCTCCGCACTCGATACAAACGGGGCTTCCGCAAAGACTTCACCATTCCCTATGGAGTCGTCCACCTCAAAGCCAAAAAGCAATGGCAAAAGGGCCGTACCATCATCTCTTACTACCACTCCATGGCCGGCAACCTCCTCCGCATTACCCGTCGAGCACTCGACATCATCCTACAACACCTCTTCCCACAGCGCCCAGGCCAGTTATCCATCCCACAACTCTGGCGCCATTTCCACTCGTACCTCTCCCAGACTCCCACCGATGTTCATCTACGTGCAACCAACGACGACCTTGTCGGTTTCTTCAACTCCGTCCCCCCAACATCACTTGATCGATGCCGTTCACTCCATGATCCAGCAATGGCAAACTCAACAGTCGACCCACACCCTAACCGTCGATACAAAGGCCACCGGCGATCCCTTTCACCACTCTCATGTCGGCCGACACCATTCCAAGCATCCCACACAACTCACACTCCACACATCCGACATCACCACTATTGTCACCTTCGCACTCAACACCTGTATTTTCCGGGCATGCAACAACACCTACAAGCAAATTCGAGAGGCTGGGATTGGCTCCCAACTCTCTCCTGCCCTACGCAACGTCGCCGTCGCCCTGATCGAGCACTCTTGGCGCCAGCTCCACAACAACCTCCTCCACCACACAGTCCTCCACTTCTCCTACTACCGCTATGTCGACAACCGCTTCATCGTACACAACGAACACTTCCTTTCCTGCCCAGCCATCCAAACCTTGATCCACCACAACTTTTTTGGCGATCCCGTCGAGCTGGAAACCGTGGAGGACTTCCACCTCCTGGGATTCAACATTGACCTTTCCCAACGCACAACCACCTGCGTCCAACCCAACCAATCCTGGAAGATCAGGGACCCCACCAGCGCAGGAAGCCAGCGCCTCGCTTTGTCAGGCCTTGCCTCGTGCCTACGCGCAATTTACACGTACAGCTACCCACCAACCACAGCAGCCGCAGCAGCCGATGAGCTAGTGAGACTATATGCCCTAAAGGGACACAATGCCAAAGATTGTCAGCGGTTTTTGCGAAAAGTCACACGTGCGCCGACGACGGCCACGTGTGTGTGTCAACCCCTGTGCCTAAGGGTTTTCCACCTCCCGGTTTGCTTTTTAAATTCCACTTTCAGCAGGGGGCGACAGGGTCACTGCATAGCTGTCGCCAACGAAGCTCTATGCAGCTGACCAGGATGCAGGGACTGATCATCCCTGTGTACCTGCTTCAACTTTTGAACAAGCTGTTCAATTTGATCGGTTTGTTTCCATGGTCCTTGCATGATATACCCCAAAACCCTTTTCCACCGCAGATGTGCAGCCGCGCTGATCGCTCGACACCGCTGTTCTCGTGAATTGCAGATGTGCACAAACCTTTTGTTAAAGCATCTTCAAATCTTTGGACCTTTCGCCTTGCCGTTCCATCGCCTTCCTTTCACCTGGGAACTGAGTTAACTGAAAACCAATGTCAGAGTGTGTGTGTTTTGTTTCTTCGTACATACCCACAAACGTAAAGCACGCGCACAACTTTGCTGAGGTTGGGGCGCTTTTCGCAACTGCACTAATCTTCGTCACGGATGGGAAAGCTTCAGAGGCCGCAGTGGAGGCATTGGCACGGATGCTTGAGGACTTGTGTTTGTTCGGAACCGCGGCTACGGCAAACCCACAACGTTTTGGAATTGAGCTGCAGAATCATAGGGCACCGTCCCTTTCAGGAGCGGTCTCTCATCAAATGCGATGGGACAGGGTCTTTGCAGGCAGTTTGAAGCCGTCTCATGGTGGTTGATGTAGACTGTCTGGAACTGAACTTGATGCGTTTGTTGCTTTGCAATTTGCAAGCTGCAAGGCTCAAACGCTTCTTTTCGTTGTGAATCAAAGCAGGCACAGCATGGACCAAGCGACATTTCCAGGTTGCGTTTATTGATCTCGATGTGTATCGCTGTGTCAGTGGCAAATCAGAGAAATGATGATGCAACATGGTGTTGCTGCTATAGTTTGGGCAGGCTGAGATATGGAGAAGATGCGCTGGAGAAGATCTTGTCTGCAGACCATAGTGAAGAACGCAAGGACCCGTCTTGTCAAGTTGTAAACGCAAAAGTGTTTTTTGTGCTTTCACGCACTGGATTATCCAGGCCAGATTTGTGCCAGCCATGTAACAAACGTTGTTGGAGGTAGAGATCCCAAACCCCAGAGCCAATGACAGCTAGCGGCAGCTAGCCAGCGACAATCTTAGGAGATTCGAAGCCTCATCAGCAAGGCGTACCCTGAGCACCGGCGGCACTTTTTCACGATTCCCGTGGATAACAAATCCGAGTTTGAGGAGTCGAATCGGGTTTGCACCAAAATTGGCAGAGCTGCAAGACTACAAGACTAGCGCGACAACAAGTTGTTAGTAGTGAACAGAAACTCTTTGAAGAAGATCGCAACCAGGACAGATGGGAGAAACTGAATGAAGCCATTCGAGATGCAGCGAAGCCGTTATCCATGGGGAAGCTTTGGATGACCGGTAAGCAGGCGCAGTGAACATGACAATCAGATTGTAAGCCAACACTCTTGTTTGCCGAATATTCAACAGACCAGGTGGTGCAGATGCTACGCCGCGTGGAGGAAGAGCTGCGTACTCGTGGCAAGGTGAGCTTACCATCCTTGCACCGACATGTGATTCTGGATGGCTGGCTGAAGCCCAAAGTGGGCCAGGCAGGGCTCCAAGTTGTGCACATTACATAGAAAAGCCATGAAATGCCTAATTATTAGGCTTGTATACTGCTAGTGGCTTGTATATTACGTGAATTGCAATGGCAATGATCAATCCTTTCCTGTGTTTGGTCAAACATCATGAAACCCATGGGACCCTTGGACATTTGTCATACTGGCTTAAGTATCCTTAAGTACACTCAGTGACACGCAAGGTGCTGCAATCTCGGATGGACAAGCTCTTGGAAGACCTTTCGCAGGATGGTCAGTTGCATTTGCTGCCAGTTTCGAAGACAGTTCATGTGTGGCCACTGGATTCAAGGATCAATTTGCTTCGCAAAAAGTGGGAAGTGTGGAAGGCTACTGCTCTGGGTGCCAGAATTCAAAGAAAGGCTGGCTAGACCCTGATGTGGAAGAGTTCTTTTGTGAGGACTCCATTGTGAGGATGTATAATGTTATATTGGCTTTGATTTTTGAATGCTTTTGTTTAATGCAGATTCCGCTTGACATTGATTCATGCTGGACACTGCTAGACTACTGGTATGGTTCTGTTTTCCAGAAACAGAGGAACAGAGGCAAGTGCTTTGTGCGAAGGATTGTTGGCGGACCTTTTCACCCAAGGCCAGAGTGCACGGGTGCAATTGAGTGCCTAAACGAGTGCCTAAACGAGGCTAAAATGGGATCTCAGTCTGCAAAATCTGGAACGCTGTTTGTGAGGTGCTGAAGTGCTGCTTTTGCGGCAACTTCTTCCCGTGGATCTTGGGCCGTGTTGAGCAAGTGACGAAGAAGCTCTGAAACCATTCAAGCCAAACCCTACCCTACCACCCTTCCAAGTTGATCGGCCAGACTGGCCTCAGGTCAGACTTGAAAGGACTCTTGTACTGTATCTAAAGCAGGAAAACTTAACTGTTTGACATGATATGCAATTTACAATGCAGCGCGGCTTGCTTGATAAGCGACCAGAGTGAGTCCACACCTGTATCCGCCCCTCCATTTTCGAACTGGTTCATGAGGAACAGGAACAATATTCATACATGGAAATGGACATCAATCATGGTTGGTGATTCAAGCACCTTTGCTGAACTTAGGATGTGGCATTGCACCGACTGCCTTATGCAATTGGGCATTGACATCACGGATTGATGCTGAGTTAGCTCTCTATTTTCAACTCATAATTCAAGACGTGACAAGCCCGGCGAAAAAAGTCGTGACGTGTTCTTGGACTCATTACTGGGATTCTGGGATGCAGGATGATGCAGGACTGCTTTTCTTTCTTCTGCTGAAATGCGAGGGTCGCTTTGCGAGGCCCAGAGTCACGACTGTGATAGATTTTGGGCTACACCGAGAGCCAGCAAACCGGGCGCAGTTGCTGTTGCTGCTGCTGTTTTGGAGACATGTACAATGTACAAGCCGAAAAAGCATGATTAAGACAGCGCATAGAGAGTGAGGGTCAAAGTGGTTGCAAGGAGAGCTCAAGAAGACTTGTTCCATCTTCATTTTTCAAAGCCAATATAATACGGCTGATGCGCCTTGACTGAGTCTGAATATCGGAAGCCCTGCCGGATACGTTATTGTAATTTATTGTATATAGAATCATGTATAATCGCCAAGACAGAAAACACACCCCAGACGTACAGAGTGATGACCGTACCTGTTCTGTAGAGCCAGTGTTGAGGCTTTGTGCGAAGAAGAATAGCTCCCCAAAGCATCGTCTGTAGTTTAGTCACATACTGCCGCTCAGCCTTCAGGACATTTGACGCGAATCAACAGACTTGAATTTGCAGCGTGAACTGCTTGGTCTTGAGTTTGCTTGACGCCAGGTGTTTGATGCCAAGCAAGGCTTAAACTGCCTTTGCACAACATGGTGCTCCCACGCTTCCGTGAGGCAGACGCGACTTTAGTTTTTTTTCTTTTTTCAGTGACAGTGACAGTGACATAGTGACATGGGGCTATCCTCGGCTACCCTACAAGTAGGACATACATTCCATTGAACTTATTGGACTTCAGGAACTTCGTTGGAGATGTATGTTTAGTCCTTGACGCAGACCGCCCAACACTTGTCAAAACTTTTGCAGGCAGAGAAGTGGTAGGGCTGGACGCACACAGAAGCTCGGCGATGTTTGAGTAAGCCAACCTCTCTTTCTTGGTCCGTGGCGGCCCAAAGGTACCCCGTCTCCAAAGCTTCCTTTACACCTACCATCAACTCAGACAGAGTGCAGGCCTTTTTAGGCCTTTTTGATAGGTGGTTTCTTGAGGGGGAATCAGTTGGAATCCACGCAGAAATACCAACAAAATAAGAGAGACCAAGGCAGTTTTGAATAGTTTTGACGAGAATACATAATGACTTTTAAGGCCTGGAGTAGCCCTTCGCCTATTCACACGGCGTATTTTTGAGGACGTCATTTTTACAATCTTGCAGACATGTGCAATATAATATATTGCAGCATTAGACACGAGTTTTGGATAAGCAGATTTGTATGCTCTTCCCAAAGGAGACGATGGCCGAGTTCGACACTCCTGAGATTTTGCGGACATCCCTGTCCAGGCTTTTCTTGCGGGCGAAGAGGCTTTCTGAGGCCAGGCAAATCGGATTGCATTGGCAGAACGGGATCGTGTTTTAAATCAGCTTGACCACTGCAGAGGATGGAACAGATACAGCAGTCCAGCTGTTCTTCACCTTTGCAGTGTGTGGGGTTTGTAGGCATGTTGGGCATGTCCATTCTTCTACACTAATTCAGTTAAACTATTCAACTTTTGATAATTTTTGTTTTGAGATGTCTTCAGTATGACTTGCTTTATGTTTCGAGAGCTAGAGACACTGGACAGCTCCTTCCGTCCCAGGTGCTGCAAAAGACAGCTGCCAAGATTTCGGCGCGTCAGCCTGAGAAGTTAAATGTGTATGCTTGCATACTGAAGACATGGTGCTCCGACTTAGGCGTATGCATCATTTTGCAAGAAATAGGTAGCAAGACAGAGGATTTGAAACCCTTGTCCAAAAAGAAGACTATACTCTAGGGTATATACATATTGCTTTACATGCTTGATACGGAGTCCTGGGTCTAGTTGAACTGAGTGGCTAGGCAATGTCCTTTGGACCTAAGCAGTGCGAGGGCCTTGCTAGGCTCGATGCATTTTTTGTTAGCGCTCAGAGAGTCTGCGCACTTGGCATTTTGTTCTTTGTGTTTTCGTTCTAACACCATTCGAGTTTGGGGATACCTGTGGCAGCAAGTAGCAGTGACATTCGACTCACACTCGAATGCCATTGCAAGGCTCCTTACCGCAACCCCCGAGCGCTATGTTGGTCAGGTCAGCTGCAGAGGCCTCATTTTGCATCCCAGGCCTCTCAAGACATTTTGAGACGCCAATATTTCTGTTTGAGTCTGTTTGAGAGACTTTTTGAACCAGGTAAGGGAGCTGGCCAATTCCGGTGCATTGGCTGCACCAACCGAAGAAGCAGACATTACTTCCTTAGGCTCTGTGGCTTTGCAATTTTTTAGTTGCAAGTGACTTGCTGTGGCTTGCCCACTTAAGCAAAATCTCCAGCTTGGTAACAAAGGCAAACAGCGGAACAGCCCTTGGCAGCTTGGTAGATTGGCTTCTGGCCTTGGCTCGAGTTCTACTCCTGATACAGCTGGAACAGCAGCATAACTTGCAGCACAGGCTTATGCGATTTTGGACAACCTTTGTCCAGAAGGAGCTTTGAGCGGTTTGATTACTAGCAACATGTAGAGGACAACACATTTTGGTGCGGATTGGCTAGACAAAGCTATCATTCATTGATTTGCATTTCGCAGCAGCACACAGCTGTTGACAAGCTTTCTTCATCCAGAGATGTCAGTGGACACGGGCAAGCAGTATAGCATCGAGCCTTTGATGATTTCGTATTTGTTTGTTGCTTGATGTTGCTTGAAGAATCACAAGGCACTGTTTGGGTCCATCTTGTGCGTTGACGTTGATCGTGTCAAGGACAAGATCATGTCCGAAATTGAAGCCTTGCGAAGCTCAAGCCGCTTGCGACCAATGGCCCGGGCGAACGAGGCAGGATGAAAGTTCTTGTGTCAACCGCTTGAACCGTTTTGTCTTTGGTCTTCAATCCTTTAATGTCTCAAGACCACCTCTTGAGGCGTCCAAGAAAGACGACAGCGACAACAATGTGAGCTCGTACAGCCCCACTTTCGCGCACCTTAGCAGCTCTTAGCATTGAAGCTGCTGCCGGCGCAAAGACATCCTTTCAGAACTCAGGCGAAATCTGGTGAACATGGGAGATCTATCGGAAGATCCCTTTTCCGAGGAGAACTGAATTGTAAAAGCAAAGAGTTCATGTCATTTGGATGTTTGAAAATGTTTGAAAGGAGATGAAAGGAGTTCGATTCAAGTCAGGCTGCCTTGAGCTGCATGTGTGCAGCCTTTGCATGGAGGACTCAATTATTTTCTCATGTCCGCCGCCTTGGGGAGATGCTGAGCCAATCAGCACTGAAGACGTGGAGCGGCCATCAGCGGAGTCTGTGGCCCGCCCTGGTCTAAATCTGCAAGTCATGCAAATCATTGTTGCTTCTGGTCATTGCCATGTCAAAAGCTTCAGAGATGTATAAAATAAATGCTGACTACCGCATCAGCCACACATCCTGACTGGCCGTAGGAGAACCATACCAAAATGACTTGGGATTTTGGATATTGATTTTCTGGCTTATCTGGCTTATACCTTTTGTACTTGCGACATTGCTCATTTTGTCATCATGAAAGAAAGCTTGAGCTGAACGTGCTTGAGGGTTGTGAAGAGACTCTTCACAGCTTGTCGCATTTGAGGACGCTGCCTTTTTTGTCCCTTTTCCTGGGGAAGAGGATGCCGTACCAGGAGGCAAGTTTAGTTCTTTCTTTATTTCATTTTTGAGTTTATTCTACAGCTTTGGCCCCGGAGAAGGCCTTTTACATTGACTTGTTTGCTGTTTTTTCCCCACCTGTCAGGTGAGGGTTGTTAGATTCTGTTAGATTCTATGCCAGCTACCTCGCGTCCTCTCCTTCTCCTCCGCCTCTTCCTCAACCGCAAGTGGCGGATGTCAGTGTTCTCCGCTGGACCTCAACCGCGAGTCAGAAGATATGCCAGATAGAACACCAGAAAGAATGTCAGAAAAAATGTCAGAAGATATGCCAGACAGAATGTCAGAAAGAATGTCAACAGATATGCCAGAAAATATGTCAGAAATAATGTCAGGACGATATGCCAGAAAAAGGTCAGAAAAAATGTCAACAGATATGACAGAAAGAATGGCAAAAGATATGCCGCAAAGAATGTCAGAAAGCATGTCAGAAGATATGCCAGAAAAATGTCACAAAAACCTCAAACGCCAGCTCTGGACGGCAGTGTTCACCATTGGACCTCAACCGCCAGGCAGAAGATATTTCAGACAGAACGCCGGAAAAAATGTGAGAAAGAGTGTCAAGAGATATGTAAAAAATATGCCAGATAGAATGCAAGACAAAAGGTCAAAAATATGCCAGACAGAAAGTCTGAAAAATGTCAGCAGATATGCGAGAAGATCAGAAGACATATGAGAGAAATGTCACACATAATGTGAACAGATATGACAGAAAAGCGTCAGAAACTATGTCAGAAGATACGCCAGACAGTCTGTCAGAAAGAATGTCAGAAGATACATTGGGGTCGCCAGACGTGCGCTGTTTGAATCAGACACTCAAGGACACTCAAAGACACTCAAGAATGTCCTTGAGTGTCTTTGAGTGTCCTTGAGTGTCTGGTCTATTTCTTGGATGATCTTGAGTGTCCTTGAGCGTCCTTGGGTGTCGTCTAGTTTAGGTTTCATATATATAGCATTCGTGGAACTCTGGATCCTGAGGAGTACAATCTCCAACAAAAACCGGCAAACCTTCGCAGGACTTAGTGGCAAGCGTCTTTTTGATGATGCACTAGCTTTATAAGGAATTTTTGTGCCCACCCTATTTCCGCACACGCATTGTGGGGAGGGCAATGGTATTCCTGGGCGAAAGGGGCCCAAAAACAAAAGGTGAACAACGAGGCGAACAGCAAGAACGCAGTCAGAGGAACCATCGGAAGCAAACCCAGATTGTTTCGATGCATATATGTGACTGGCTAGTTGACAAAAACGACATACATAACACACCTT